TCAGCCTTTTGGTACCATTTTTTAAGGTGCCATTGCCGCTTGTATGAAATAGTTTTGAAGCAGATGTTTGAGTCAGAAAAAGTTTTCCAAAACTGTCCAAGAGCAGTATTTTGTGCCCATTTTCGAAAAACTTTGCCTAAATTGGGTCATTTAGGCGTTTCTGGAGAGCTAAGAAAATCTCATTCGTCAATTAGGCGTTTCCGGAGAGCACAGAAAATCTCAAGCTATTTTTATATTAGTCTCCTTCCACACTAGAGATAACGTAGATCAGATACAAAAAACTTAATAGAGTTCCAAAGATAATAAAACACCAGTATTATGACATCAGAATCCGGTACATTTAATCCTGGGAAAATTGAAAGCCCTGTCAAGAAAGAGGTTTAAATGGTGTATATTTCGGAACGAGAGATGTAAACTGCAAATCATAAAGTTAGTCGGGGACAATGAAATAGAGTTCAACCAAAGGTGACAGACAACTCCGAAGCTTAAATACCAGTTAGCGCCAAATAGATGGATTGAATGCAATTGGAATAAAGAGAATAGAACTGGAATTTAATTATTATGACATTCCCCTTCCTGTGGAAGAATGAAATAAACGAAAACTTAGAGTACTCAATGAAACTTAGATTTATGACGAAAACTCTTAGCTAAAGTTTTGGGTTTTGATACCAACTAAGTAAAACTGAAATGTTGAGTTTTTGTTCGCTCAACGGCCTGCCCTCTTCCTGTACTACATTGAAAATTTTAAGTTTTACTCCAGTTGTTTTTCTCCGCCCTCTGATTTCTGGATATGATCTATCATGACAGCCCCCATTTTGTTGACCACCGTAGGTTTTCTTCCGGAACGTCTCGAAGATGTTTCGTCCTGTGAGCTTGCCGATTCTTGGCTCGAGTACAATACCAGCCGCTATTTGCGAACTCGTTTCTTCGTGCTTGCCTGTGCAATTTAAGATTCCCCCAATGCCACAGGTTCGTTGTCCTCGAACGTCGCCGGTTCCGTTTCGACTCGGTCTTTTCGATTTCCGGCCACTTCCGTCTTTCGCTAAATCGTATATGCCGTCGCGGTCTCCTAATCGCTCGGTCGTATTTTCATTGCGTTGTTATTTTTCACGCTGATTGTGGCTCGCTCCCCCAGTTCGGCCGTTGGCCGGTTCACTTCCGCCTCCTGACTTCCGGTGGTTGTCCGTTCATCCTCCGGTAAACTCGTTCCCGGCGCCCTTGTCGTTGCTTGTCCGAGCATTCGCTTCGTCGCTAAAGGCAAGTCATTGTCGTCATCGGAAGAATCCCCTTCGGTTTTTCGGCTGCGTTTCGTGCTTGTGGTAATCGGTCGTTTACTTTTCGAACTGGATGGCTTCTCATTCATCATTTTACGTTTCCCCTCCTGCGGTGTGAGTGGAGGAGCTCTAGGTGCTCCGGGTGCGCGTTTCCTAGGGGTTGTGATCTTTCGCAACGCCACTCCCGTTTTCCTAAGAACAGCATTGTTACTCATTTTAATAGTATGTTCGGTTTCTTTCATTATTTTAGATTTTAGTTGTTTATACCTGCTAAGAATTTTATCCGCGGTCTGCTGCATAATCAGTGTCGGTGCCGCTGCTGACGCCGGTGGTTCCGCGCTCCGGCCAATTTCTGGCTCCACCCCCTGATTATTTATCTGATCGTCTGATAACTGCCATGGGTGCCGTCGGTTTTTCACGTTGTAGGTAGTATCAGATCTGACTCCCCAGTTCGTTTCTGCTGGGTGCGGCATCAATTGGGCATCTGCGTCTCGTTCATCTAAGGAAGCAGATTTTGAACGTATTACTTTAACCCAGCTTAGATTCCTTAGAGACGGCTTTTTAGTCAAATTCCTCAGAACCGTATTAGCCTCTTGACCGTAATGGGCTTCAAATGGCGTTAGCTTAAGCGTGGCGTTTTGGGGAAATCTTAGAGCGCCAGGGCCCTTTCGAGCATCTTCTCCGATTTCTTTTCTCGCGCATGCATGAGTACTAGGTTCAAGAGGCTGCCGTTGGTTCGTTCAATACAACCCGTTGCTCGATGATCGTTTACCGGCGATACAATAAATTCAATTCCTTCCTGATGCCAAAAGTTTTTAACGTCTTTATACATGAAATTTTTCCCTTGGTCCACACGAACCTGTCGCGGAACGCCATATGTGGTGATATATGTTCTTAAATATTTTAGGATCTGTTTGAACTACAAACCATGGCCAAGGGCTATCTTGAAAAGCGGTCGACCGCCACAAGGACATACTTTTTACATTCATTTAAGTAGTTGATCGGTCCCCAGAAATCTAATTGTAATTATTCATTTGGTTCTTTGGGTCAGGTTTTCCCCTACATGTTCTTCTCGGCACATGTTTTTTTAATTCCTTACGGGCCATTGAGCATTCTCGGCAGTTTTCCGCTATTGACGCTAGACTCGACATATGAAGGAATACCAATTGTCCTTGGCCGCTTCGTACATATTAGACTTCCCATGACGGTATTAGCGTAGTTTGTTGTTTACCGCCGCGTGCAGGAGTTTGGTTTTACTAACTTATCGTCAATCCAAAAGGATCCATCTTGCGTTGTATTGCTTTTAGTACTCCTGAATTCTGTTTTAAATGCTTGCATATTCTGTTTAATTTCTTCAATTTTGTCGCCGCTATATATTCTATTTCTGAATTTTTAGTGTTTTTCCTCGAATTTGTTTTTGCCCCAACTGAATTTGCATATGTATCAGTTGATTTTCCGGATACGCAAATTGCTGGACTTTTGACTGTCATTGGTACATTCTCCATGGCATGTAATTTTGCCCTCTATCAATCGTTCTCTGCTCGATATAATGCATACTCGCTTTTCATTGGCCTGTGCGACTCAAATTTTTTTTGGAGTTATATAACTTTTGAAAGGGCGCCTCGAATTGAATTGATTTTTGCGACCGTAAACATACTATTATGTGTGCTGACAGAATCAACTTCTGAGCTTGGATGTCTTAAAAAAAATCTGCGAGACCGATCTTCGCTTCGGGTTTATTTTTTACTCGCAAATCCGAAAATAAAAAGATATAACGAATTAACCACCGTGTTAATTGTTTGAACATAGTTTTATTCTTTTAATTGTTCCCTGTTTAGCAGTGAGACTAAGGCTTTATGATCTGTAACAATCAAAAATGTCCTCCCAAAAAATAGTTTCGGAAAAATTCGGCCCCTAGTTCATTCGTCGAGTACATTTTTTCAGCGTCGTTTAAGTAGCGACATGCGAAGGATTCGTCGGAGCCTGTTTGCTCGATGAAAGCGCTGAGCCCGTTATGACTCGCGTCGCAGACTTTTCTTGTATTACGGTGTATGTCAAAAAACCGTTGTTCGACTATGTTTGCAACTTATACTTTGTAGTTTCTAATTTTACCGACTAGGCAAAAAAGATTGTTAAATTGCTTACTGAAGTAGAGTTGCCATTGATCTAGTGGTGCCTCTGCGTTGGACGTCTCTGCACCATCTTGTTCTCCCTGGATGGACATCACATTCTCCCCCGGTGTCTTTTGGATCAGCTGCAACCCAAGGCTAGACATCAAGTCCCTTCCAACAATAGATGGTCTGCTGCCTCCTAGCACCTTGATCTTTGCTTCGACGGCCCATTCGTTTGCTTTCAGGAGGACTGTCAGTCCTTAGTAGGTGTAGTGGATTGTTCCCGTAATCCCTGAATTCGTTATCTTCTGGCTTTAGCTCGTTCACTTTCACTCCTGCGGTGCCCAGTATGTTCCTTAGTTCTCCGATGGTAAAAATTGAGATCGGCGTTCCGCTGTCTATCCAAACGCTCATCTGTTCGCCATTAACTATTTATTGTCAGCTTTTCGCCCGCAACTTTTATTTCGGTTTCCCTTGAATGGTCATGACAACATAGTCACCCCAACAGTCTAAATCCAGCGATCGGTGTCTCTCCTCCGGCATGTTGACCCAACCGACGGAACTTTCGTGTTGCGAGTGCATATCCTCTGTGTCTCCGGGTTAGCTCATGCCCAGATCCTCTTGGCCTTGATTTAGTCCCACTGCCAGCTGACCTCGATTGCTAAATTTTCGCCTACACGTTTTTTTTGTAATGAACTGTCTTTCGGCAGAAGCTGCAGGTCGCGCTTCTCGCAGGGCATCTTGTCATGTGCTCTGTGGTAAAAATGGCCTGGTCGCAATTTTAGCATTTTTTTGTTACCTTGTTGCACTCCTCCTCGGATTTCCGATGGTCCTCGTTACGGTCCACGTCCGCGTTGTCTACTGTTCCTATAGCCGCCCCGGATTGCCCTTTCCCGGTTCCGTTTTGATCTAAAATGCTCCTCCACCAGTAATGCTCTTCAATGTCGTTCGTTGATACGTACGTTTTCACGTACTTGTGTCTGTGCTCGTAAGATAGCGCTATACGGTATACCTCCTTTGGGTTTTTTGTCGATCGGCAAAATTTGTATTGAGCCTCTCTGCTATTCCTGTTCACACTGAGTACTTCTCGTAGGATTCTGTTCTCCAAAGCTCCTAAATTGCAGCGTGCCGCCAATGAACTTAGAACAAAATAGAACTGCTCCAATGATTCCCCGATATGCTGTTTCCTTGCTAACAGCTGGAAAGTTTCATACGCCACGTTGCGTTCTTTCTTTAACTCCGTTTCCATAGAATTAATGACCCTAGCATAACGGGTCGAAGTCAAGTCCAAATGTGGTTTTCGCCTGTGGAATTCATCCTGTCGTTTCTCACACAGGTACATAAATTCGACATTAGCGTCTGCTCCACCTCCAATTAATTTTCCCCATGCACCTCCTCATGTAAGGCCGCAACTTGAGCCGTTGTTAGCGTAGCTGCATAGTAGAATTTTTTTGGGTTAATATCATGTTTAGCCACCATTCCCCATTAAAACCGATTAAACCAAAACTCATTTAGCATTGGTGGCTCCGCGAACTTAGGGGGCCAGAACGACGTAATCCCCAGTGAGTTCTCCCCCACCCCCACTTTGGCCTGTTGGCTGCGCCATGTCAAGAAAAAAATTTCGAAAGTGTAAATTTCAGAAGGAGAGATGTAAACTGCAAATCACAAGGTTAGTCGGAGTGAATTAAATAGAGGTCAACCAAAGGTGGACACCTCGAAGGTTAAATACCAATTAGCGCCAGACAGATAGATTGAATGCAGTTGGAATAAAGAAAATAGAACTAAAATGGACTGTGAACTAATTTAATCACTATGAGACTCCCCTTCCTGCGAAGAATGAAAAAAAAATGAAAATTCAGAGAACTCAATGAAATTATGAAATTTAGGTTTTTGATGACCCAGCAATTTAAAGCGACCCAACAATTTAAAGCCCCATCAATTCTTTGAAGAAACTGCAAACTAACGAGAAGATAATCTATTATTTAGATAAAATCAGCGAACATATCTTTCCAACCCTCTGCAATCAGAAGAGCTTCTGAATTATGTGAGTTCCTGTGATGCTGACACCATTGAAGAGCATTCTTTCCGTCCAGGGTAAACAGCAGTTTTTCTTTTGGAAAACCGGAATCGGCAAGAAGTTTAATATACTCTGTTTTCGCATTTTGGCTACAAACAGCAAGTAGAAGCGTTACTGCAGCGAATTCTCGGTGGCCGTTCAAATGGTAACCGAATTGCTCTCGGTAAGTGGTTGCAATTTGATCTCCAAGAAGTCCATAGCACTTAAGTTTGTCCAACACCCATGGAACAACTTTTTGTTGTCTGTTGTTCATGAAAGATATGAAAAGCCACTGGCCCGATTTTTGAGCCCAATTTCTTGCATTTTCATCACCGACAAACTCCAGTATCCAGTCAAATGCGTCGATTGTGCCGTAAGTCAAACATTTCTGCTCAATTTCTATAATATATCAAAGGTTTCAGCAAAAATAAAGTTTACGCAACCTAATTAAATCAACTCGTTTGATATACATCAGCCAAAACATTTCTTTCTACCAGTAGTTCTGAAATGACAATTTTCAGAAAAGCCAATTCAATTTCGAACCGTATTTTTCAAGGATTTTGTTTTATTTTTGTCAATTATCAATTTTATGGGTGGATTATCTAAGTTTGATGAACCGTTTGATCAAAGGCATGATTCTTTTTTAAGTTTTTGAGCTAATGCAAAATACCAATAAGTGTTCGTTGGTTGCGATTCGTTAATTTAATAATCATAATATTTATTTTAATTATCATGATTATATATCAATTAGTGTTCGTTGGCATTACTTATTTTTTCAAAAATATATATGTCTTACCTTGCAGGTCGGAAAACGTCGCGAGGCCCGGCTGATCAGATATTGCCCTAAGTAGCAACTCTTTGATTTCTTCACCAAATTTTTCGCCCAATGTTTTCACGAACTCTCCCAACTCGTCTTTGTTCATACTTTTGTTGAGACAAAATGCTTTCAAAATTGGTAGAACAAATTTTGATTTGCTTTCGACTGGAAACTGCTCCAGAAAGGATTTAAGTCGATCGAATGTTCCGATGTTGAAGACAGTATTTATCCTATGCTTCATTTCCTTTTCATCCGACGCTATTTGTTCCAATTGCTTTTTAGAGAAGTGCTGATCTTTCTTAATGAATTCCATTGTTTCGGTATAGTCTAACGTTGTGGATTCAAAGAAGCCTTGAAGACTATCCCTTAGGAACTCATTGGCCAGAATAACAACCTCATACTGAGCTCTGGTCACAGCTAAATGCATTGCTGATTGCACGGCCACTAAGTCCGTCTTTTCATGCGCCATGTCTATAATAACGACCACCGACCACGTTTCAATGCCCGTAAATGGAAGTTTGTATTTGTTTTCAACCGGGTCGACCACAAAAAAATAACCGTTTTTATGAGCTACGGGCTCATTGTCCAAGTTTCTGATCAATCTTGAGTCAAGTTGAGTCGTTTTATCGGTTAGAACAGTGATTAGACGACTAGTATTGTACTTGGAGTCGGTGTTAACTTTGAAAGTTTCGGATGTTTCTGGGAAATAGTCGACTATGAAAGAATGTTGGGAGGACGGGACACAGCCTAGAACCCTGGCTGAGGCAGGAGTGATGGGTTTGGTGGCGTGGATGAATTTGCTGGAAAAGCGACTTATGTGATGAGCACTCCTGAAGAGAACTGTCAGGTTTGTGAGACTAAAATGGGATCTACTTTACAATCCACCCCGTTGGAAATAAATGACAAGAAAAATAAAACATTTCTCAAAATTCGAGGAAATGTATCGGCTTTTTCCTTTTCCCCACCAGCGAATTTTCACCATAGTAAAATTTCTCTGTTCTCTTTGTCCGATTGTTACACAACTTGGCATGCGGACTAATTAGCTATGACATACATATTTGGTCTTCACATATTTAACCTTGTAAAACCCCTCGTTACGGTTATGTGAGGTGGGGGGGGGGGGGGGAGGAAAAAGAGCCAATGTATCTACAGTTTCGATATTGATCTTAAATCTCGGCCAGATTTGATTTTTTTTATGATGCAGTGAGAACCAATTTTAACATAGTTTTTGCAGCCATATTTTTTTGTTTTTGTTAAAAAAACTACCAAACTTTCCAATTTTTTTTAAAAAAATAAAAATTAACTTTGATAATTTTCTGGAAAATAACAGAATAGCTTACCCAAAAAAATTCAAAAAAGTACTATCTTTGAGCATCATTTTCATTGAAACATTTTCAGAAGAATGTCTATTTTGAGCAAGTCTGAATGCTGGTTTCTTGAGGGTGAGGCAACATTACCCAGCCGAGAAAAATAACCAAAAAAATTGCATGTAGTTCTTAAGCAGGGGCACAACAGCGGTTCGCCGTGATGAGCTGTACAGCTCGTATGTTGGTCCTATCCCTCGTGGATAAATGATCTTAATTCAAGTGTATGAAATTTCTGATAAGGTACACCAAAGGGAAAGTGTGAAGAAGATCCCTGAAATGTTGAACGAGAAATCGACTAAGAGGAGACTGGAATCGGTCGTGGTTTCCGACAGATACGTATGCAATGATGCACTGCTTGCATCGTAGAATGACATTGCACAGATTTCTCCGATTTATGAAGTACTCCCCGTGATCCGTTATGTCGAAACCTGCGTGCAACTCTTCAATCAGAATGACCGACTTTTTCAGGTGTTCACAAGTCAGGCTAAAAATAAGACCTCCATCTTTAAACAAGAATTGAAAATGATGAATTTTATTCTAAGTACTTCTTATATTACAGCTCTAATTTTAACAAAGATCGCAAAAAATGCAAGTTTCAAGCCTCTCAAAAGGTTTTTTTTATCTCAAAGAGTTGTTGCTGAGTTTAATAAAATATTGCTTTTTTCAGAAAAAAAATTGAAAACTGACATCATTATTGTTTTGGATAAAAAGCTCAAAAATACTCTTACGAATGACTTTGCATAATTTCTGACTCCAAGCTGTCTGCATTATACTCGTCAACAAGGACTATTTTCACTTTCTTTCTATGATTTTCATCCATATTGTCATCTAAGAAATTTTCGACATATTTGCGAAACGGATGTTTGCACTCCGGAATCACGAAGAAAACCAGTTCCGTCGAGTCGTCTCGGCATTCGAACAGCACTTTCTCCAGCATCACTGAGGTCTTTCCCGATCCCGGTTCGCCTATTAAGCCGATGAACTTTTCTGTCGAATTCAGTACATTGCACTGTTGCAAACTGAGAATTTGGTTCAACTCATATTTAGGTTTCACGGCGTCAAGTTTTTTCTTTTCATTCTGTGGCGGTTTGTATTGTCTCAGTCTTTCTTCTATATCAACGGGTTCGGTTTTTAGACAGGTTTCATCAATCATAATACAGCTAATACAAAATAGAGAGGCAATCATTTCCAAATTCGGAAACTTTTCCGAGGCTACCTTTCTGTTACAACAGAAAAGGTCAAAAACGGTCAAGTCCAAAAGTTCCAAAGTCATGTCTTGCTTCAAGGAGAACAAAACCGGCGTTTTATTGAACTCTGGATGAATTAACAATTGAACGTACGACATGTAACCATTTTTCATCGCAGCGTCAAACATTCTCTTGAACTTCTTCATGCATTCAGGGACTTTATCTTTGAAAAAGCAGCTGTTCAGGTCTGACAAAACGCTCGATATTTCTTTCTGGTCCGCATTTGGAATATAAATCACCGTCTTCAAATGTTGTCGAATAAATTCTTCATAAATGCTGGGGTTATTATACCCATCTAGTATAACAAATAGGGCCAATTTTAATTTTGGAATCGTAATCTCCAAAACCTGTTCCAGTTTATTGACTATCGTTGTCTGCAGGCTTCCGGAAAGAGTGGACAAGGAAATTTGAAAAGCTACGAGATACTGGACTGTGCAAAGGATCCAGTCGACTTCGAAGTCAAAGTTGAAGCAATCAGGAATGTTTAGCAGCTTCATGAGGTGATGATTGTCGAAATCGGATATCAGAACGCCTCTCGCGTTTTCCAACTTGGACAGAACTCTCTCTGAGAATTTCACCTTTTCTCCCACGTGTTTCTCGTTGTGAAATAAATCACCTACAACAAAAAGCGCAGTTCAATCAAACCATTTTTCGATGCTCATTTTTGGCCGATCAGTTGAAGGTTTGGATCTACTAAACAATTGCCCTCCCTTTGGTACCTACTTAAGAATTGCCACCCCTATTAATAAAAGCAGTAAATTAGCTTTAGAGCTTTGTATTGAGACTTCTAATTTTGCAGCAATCTGATAGGTTGAAAATGCGTTATATTAATCTTCTTAACAATTGCCCCCCCCCCTTTCTTAAAAGGGGGTAATTGTTAAGTAGATCCGAAGGTTTTTTTCTAAAATATATGCTTATTTTGAGGCTTGCCGAAAAATCACGGCTTAAATTCATTAGGTTGCATTTCAAATACTAGCTACCATCAATTCGTTTGCGCTTGTCCTTCATAAACATTGAAATTTATCTAAAATCGATGTCGTAACATTGTGTCAAAAAAGAGAAAACACTTTTTTAAGTTATCAACCGTTTTTAAGTTATCAGCGGTGCCAGGGGGAGAGGGGGGAGGGGGGAGGGGGGGAAGGGGTGGTTATTGATCGACTTTAAAAAAATCCGCAAATTTTTCAAGTTTTTCGAAAAACAACAGCGGCCATCCGCAGCCCTCAGAAAAAATTTCTGCGAACACCACTGGATACTACTTAGGATAATGATAAAGTTTTACCTTCGGCAGTGACAGAAAGCAAAAGACTGGTAGAGGTGTCTCGGTTCCAATCTGGCACACTGATCAAACCATCATCTTCCTTTCTTTTAGCAATATAACTCTCCCACGAATCAACCAACTTTCTCTCTTTTTCCCCAATGTTAAGAGTCAACTTTTGGGTACAAATATCTTGCTGTAATATCTTCGAAAGCTGCCAGTTTTCATCCTCCGAGGGAAGCTCCGTGATCAATTTTTTGAAATCATCCTCTGATAAACCTGCTGCTTCTTTTGCATTTGTACTAAATTTAGGCACTTTTTTATTCGTCATCAGAACGTACAATTGGATTTGCGATGTTTCTAGTAAAATTTTTTCAGCTATTTTTTGCTTTATTTGAGAAGTTTTTTTCCGCAGTGTTTGGGCGACAAGAATAACAATGTCGACTTTTAGAAACTTACCGTCCTCTAGTCCGACAATGTTTCTAATATGTTCTAGCTGGTCTAATATCGGCTTGCTTATCTTCTGAACTGAATCTTCGCCGTCAAATTTTTCGACATTTTTGAACAAGACAATTTTATGAAGAGTTTTTGGAATGAAAAGTGGAGCCCAAGTTTTGCCTGAAAGGTTTGACGTTTCGGTTGCTGATTGGTTGACCTTTTCTGCATTGCCAGAACATGGTTCACTGTCAGTTTTTTCGTTTTTCGACGTTTTTCTATTTCCACTTTTTTGAGTTTGAATAAAGTAGCCCTTGGCTTGAACTGTTTCGAGTAACTCTATTAAATTTGGCTTTCCAAGAGATTTGATCAGAATGTGATCTTGTTTGAAATAATCTGGCACCCCCGGAAGCAGAACAAGCTGCTCCTCTGAGAGGCTTGAATCGTGACTCATTCTAACAGCACATTAAAAGGTCCCAAACATAATCGATAAGATAAAAAGAAACGATTATAAGCCGTACTCGCTTTTGTTTTGATCAATTTTTTACGGCATATTTGCTTGGCTAAAAACAAACACCAATGAATAAAACGCTTCAATTATGATGCGAATTTATAAGTTGACTGGTAAGAATAAACGAAGAATAGAAACAAATAAGACTGCCGTATCAGTGTGAAGTGTGAAGACCTGAACGTGCCGACTGCCCATCATGGTCTTTAAAACAATTTTTGAAATTTAAAATTTAAAAAAAAACTTAAAATTTTCAAACCTTTTTTCGGACTTCGTTTAAAAAACTCCCCCCCCCCCCTCTCCCACTTCAATTTGGAACGATTTATGAGCAGTTTAATTTGCAAACCACCATATCATTTCGTAAAATGATCACGGATAGAATGTATATTTTTTCATTTTGAGCTCATGACATCACTGGCTTTCAAATGGTGTATATAAAAACAATTCCGTTCAAAAATGGTGAAAAATCGAAATTGGTGTCGAGAAAAAAAATCACCTGAGCACAACTATTCCGTCACTTTGTGCGAATATCGGAACAAACAGCTGCCGTAGTAGAAAAATCAAAAATTACGAGGCCAAACTGTGCATTTTGTTAATTGTTTTAAAATTAGTAAAAATTGTAAACCAAAAAAGGATCCACTTCACCTGCCTTTCATGCGGCGAGTTTCTGGACTTAACTTTTGCAAAAGTTTAATCAAATTAGTTTTTGCAAGATTTTCAACTACCTTGTCTTCATTAATTTTTTTTCTAAAGTTTGTTTGCGTTCAAACCTTCCCTTTTTTGTAAACTTTTCGGATAAATTACAAAATCTGGTAGTTTAACCAGGGGGCGGATCTGAGATTTTCTCGAGGGGGGCTGATAGATTTCGAAATTTTGTCGCCTTTTTTTAGGTCGACCAAATTGATTTTGCGAGCTCTCCGAAAGCAATAAAAAGGCCCTGTTTTGGCCGAAATTTTTTGCGCCACAGGCAAAATTTTGTAAG